TCTAAATAGGCAGAAACTTTAAAAAAAATTAATAAAAATGGCATGCTTCTTTCTTTAGATTCAGATTAATGTAATTTTCCAAACCAGACAGCTTCTTTGGAAACACGGTCAGTGACTGTTTAACAATGAGGAAATCAGGCTTCCAGTTATGGAATGAGTAAGTCACAGGGATAAAAGGCACAGCATGGGGGGTATAGTCAGTGTTACTATAATTATGTTGTGTGGTGACAAATGGTAGCCACACTTGTGAGTATAGCGTAATGTTTAGAGTTGTTGGATTACTGTTTTGTACACCTGACATGAATGTAACATTGTGTCAACTAGGCTTCAGTTTTTAAAAATTAATTAACGTTTTTAAATATGGAAATGAGATGAACCATCTTACAAAGGGGAGGACTGTACCATGCATTGAACAGATTTGGTATTTAGGGAACAGTACAACATCAGGGGACTTATCCCTGCCAATTGTTAGGTTTGGTTGGCTATATAGTCTCTGGGTTATGCAATTTACAGATTTACATTAAAAAAAAAAGGAAGGGGTGCGGAGGAGGAGGAAGCAGAAGAAGAGAATTGAGTCTCATTGGAGAGATAGACAATAGAATATCCTCAGTCTCATGTCCAAGACACACACTCAGCCATTCTTGATACGCCATATGGGAAGGCAGCACTGTTTGCCAGCTTTGGAACTTTGAGTTCCAAAGTTACTTCACCTCTTAGCGCTTCCATTTCCTCCCCTAAGCAGTTGGAATCATACCTGTTTTTCACATGTGGCTGGGAGAATTGGAAGTAACAAACATAAAGCCCCTGCTGTCGTGCTAGGCACAGAGTGGGCTCACAGTAATTGGTGATGTTGCGGGTTTATGGCTATTCTTGATGCTCAGATAGCCAGATAATGAAGAATAAATGCAAATGTTATTGCCTTACGTGGGACCCTTACTGTATGTTCAAATGTACAAGTCCCTTTTTATTTTAGTGCATTTTTATTTAAATGAGGTAATTTGCCTCAAAAGTACTTATTAAAATGTAACTTGACTTGATCCATCAGTCATGTTGTAAAACATCCTTTTGAAAACTCTTATGCACATGCAATTAATACCTTTAATCCCCTTTGACCTCCTATTCCCTTTGATTTGAATAGGTAGGCAGGGAAATGTATTACCATCCCCATTTCACCTCATCCGGGAGGTAATCAAAATGAGATGACCAGTTGAATTTGTCTGGTGTCTGACAGAATATGCCAACAGACACTTTAAATTTTTAAGGTGAAAAGCTAGAGCTCACATAAGCTCACATAATGCTTCTCTTTATTAAACTACTGAATTACCTTAAGATTTATGCCTGAGACAGAATTATAAAAATGCCACTGTTGATGTGTCCTGCATAAAGAAAGAAAGAAAATCAGAGGCAAGTTAGAGCCCCTCTTCTTTTAATCCCTGAGTTTTTAAGCTCTTTTTCTATAGCCAACCACAAGACCAAGCTTTGTTTTCATACATCCACTTAGAAATTCAAGAAACCAAAATCTCCGCTAATAGGTAAGTGTAGTAAAACTAAATACATAATAGTGGCAATAAATTCAATGTACATTCCCAGGGGAAAGGCTCAATGTTAAGTGGTTCCCTTGCAACTCTCCTGAGTCATCAACTGTATAGTTCCCTGGGGAGTAGTGAAAGAGAGCTTATCAGTACTTCTCAGAAACCAAAAGGATGTTATGCACTGTGAGTGGTTAGGTAGGAATGACCGTGATAGACTGTAAAATTGAGGATGGTTCAGTTGTATCATGTAACAACTGGTGTGTCAACCGCTGCTTTTATTTTAAAGGACATATAGGCAAAGGATTTCAGGACATCCCCTGGTTAATCTCATGCTTTAGAAGGCAGCATGAAACACCGATTTTAGAATATTCTTAGTTCGCAAATATTCTCTTTAGGCCCATACACATGCTATCATCCTAAAACACAAAGAGTCTAAAAATATTAATTTTGTAATACTTATCTGTCAGAAGCCATGGTGAGGCCTCATTTAATTCCAGGGAAATATAAATGGAATCAGGCTTAGTGATAACTCTGGCCAAGTTCAGGAATGATCAGATTAGACATTTAAAACTTTGGGAAGGAAAAACATCTAATCAGTCTGAATTTCACTTATAATTGGGAAAATAGAATCCAAATCCATGTTTGAAGTCTATATACCTTATATGCATTCTCATAACCTTCAAACACTTATTATGAAATTATTACCTTTTTTTTTTTACAATTCCATGATTTCTGGTAAATATACCAATTTGTGCAACCATCATATAAGGTTATTTTCCATAGAACTTTATTCTTGGGCTATTTGGGAGAAAAATCACCTATTAAAGGCTTGTTAGTGGTGAGAACACATGCCACTGGTATAGTACTAGGTACTTTTCAGGGTTTTTTATTGTAAAAGTGATGCATAATAATTAAAAACACATACTCTAGAAACAGGGATTCTGGCTTCAAATCTCATTAGCCACTGGCTGTGCCACATTGAGTACCCTAAGTGCCCAACTCTTAGGGCTGTTGTGATTCTTAATGAGTTAAGACACATAAAGTTCTTAGAACACTACCTGGCCTGTAGTATGTCCTATGTGATTCTTTGGTCTTAGTATTTTCATTTCCCTGATGAGGAAAATGACACAGAGAAAAATGACCTGAAGTCACACTAATGCAGTGTCACACTAATCCAATGTCACACATCTAATGAGACTTGGGACAGGCTGAACCAGATGTACCTCCCAGCATTGCCTTTAGGATATGGCTACTGAAAAAATCCAAATTTTTAAATAAAATGCATATTTTAGATATCCTTCCCTAAGTATGCTTGAAGCCTCTTGACTATAACTGTAAACCAGTTAGTAATTACTAAAAAACTCTATGTTATTCTTGGGGCACCTGCATGGCTTCGGGTCCAGAGACTCTATCTCTGGGTCCTGGGATCGAGCCCTGCCCTGTGTCAGGCTCCCTGCTCCGTGGGAAGCCTGCTTCTCCCTCTCCCACTCCCCCTGCTTGTGTTCCCTCTCTCGCTGTCTCTCTCTGTCAAATAAATAAATAAAATCTTTAAAAATAAATAAATAAAGTAGCTTACTCTGTTGTACTGCATCAAAGCACTGTCATTAGTGATGACATACCAAGATTGATGGTCAAGAGCAGTGTGAGACCAAGAAACCATTTTGCAGTACAAATGGCCTTTTCTTTGCAAATCCAAAGGAAAAAAAGAGGTCCCATTAATATTTACGATTTAATCAAGGTCAATGTTCATAGAGCAGTCCTATAAAACCACTTACATGCTGTATATGATCACAAAGGAAAAGCAGTTGGTCACCCCTCTCTATATATATATCTTCATTTTAATATTTTACTTAAAACTTCAGTAACTTGAACAAGATATGCCCCCAAAGAAGTTATTCTATTTCTGCCAGCCTTTAGCATTATTTTATAATTCATATCAAAAAGAAAGCTAACTAATTTCTTCCTGAAGATACTGAAATAATACTGGATTATTTATGTGATGACGGTGGTAGTAATGGTGATACTGATATCTAACACTTAGCTTTGCACTTTCTATATCTGGATGTTTCACTTTGCACTTCTTAAAAATCATTTCATATAGACCTCAAATTAATCATCAAAGGGAGAAATATTTATTAGCCTTAACTGAAGAGAAGACTGAAGTGTGTAAGCAATTCAGTAACTTATCTAAGGTGAAAACATTTCATAAATGCAAGACCAGGATTCAAATCCAGGTTTTTCTGACTCCAAAATCTGTATGCTTAACAATTAGTTGATATTCCCATCCAGTATCTTCCCTTAGAAGACAGTCCTATTTAAGACCACTGACAGTTGGTATGCAACTTTATTTAGTAAATGATTTTCATGTATTTTGTTTCCTCTGTTGGTTTTACTGGTATAAAGTGTTGGGATAATTAAATTTGTAGAGGGTAAAAATATTGATTGGCATATTAATATTTATCATTTAAAAAAGATGATATCTGAGACAGGTTATCAAAGATCCCTGTACATGTGGACTCTTACAACCACTTAAGACCAGCGAACTTCAGATGTTTTCACAGTTCTGCAGAATGGTTTATACTGTGGTCGAATCACAAAAACCTTTTTAATCTCTGTTGGCAAACAAAGGAATATTATTAGACACCTGTGGTGAGAACCACACAGAAATGTCAGTATATTTTTCTATTATTTTCCAGGCTTGCCCTATTTGCAAATTTAAGTATCAGCACCCAGAAATTTAAGCCATCATCTTATGTAGGGAATACTGGGTATTCACAGTTTCTCTATCCTATGCTCCCGTATTTCCATGTTTGAGCCTTTTTGTTTCAGACTTCCTAGTCAATATACCAGTATATTAGCTCTTTAATATTCACTATTTAATTTTGACCCCAACTTCCATTTTGCCGTATTTTTGCCTCCATGGTGAGAGGTAAGTATATCCCTGACACTGCTGTGTATGGATCCCGTTTCCTGCGTTGGTCCCGTGCTTGTCTTCGCCTGCTGTTAACACTCGTGTTAGATTTATAACCACACTTCAAAACCACATAGCACCTTCCTGCTAATCGTGCCCAACTTCCTCTTATTTTCAATCCCCATTTTTCATTTACCTCAGTTGCTTAGTCTTTTTGTTTTTATCCATTTTATGAATTTCCATAAGCCCTCTCAAATTTTAGAATGACTGTTAGACCTGGCCCTGAAAGAATATGATTGGATAGTGATTAAATGTACCCATTTCCACTTCTGCCAATAGGAAAACAAGCTTAATTGGTATCCATTCCTAAGAAGTAGAAATTGATTGTATCTCCCTGAAATATCTTCTATTTTTAAATCATCTCTTGGTCTTTATCTTTATTAATTCTAGGTAGGTGTATCTTTTCCTAAGAAGTGCTTATTGGAGTTTGTATTTTAACTTCTTTGGGTTAATAAAAGGAAAATTGAAGCATCAGCTAAGTTACTTTTCCTTTGTAGTGTGGAGACGATCAATGATGGAAACTTTCACATTGTGGAGCTACTTGCCCTGGATCAGAGTCTCTCCCTCTCCGTGGATGGAGGGAGCCCCAAAATCATCACCAACTTGTCAAAGCAGTCCACTCTGAATTTTGACTCTCCCCTCTATGTAGGAGGTAAGATCTGTTCCAAATCCAGTAAGTCCCCAAAAACCCTGTGATTCTCATCCTAGACTAATTCTGAAATTGTTGACCCCTCGTGTCCTGGCCGTCGACCCACAGTGATCAATCACTAAGAGACGGACAGCAAGAATAGAAAAGAAAGAGCCCTGGATGTGTGTTAAGAGACCTGTTTTGTGTCTGTCTCAACCTATTAATAACCAATGTCATGGTTGGACAGGTTCTTGTGGTTCTTGTGATGATTGCAAAGTACCCATCAGCAATAAGCATCAGGAAACTTTGAAGAAAAATTAGAGGTTTATTACTTACAAGACCTGAAAATTATACAGCACACCTGTGGCCACACAGCGAGCTCTTAAGGAAAAAGAGAGTGAGTGAGAGAGCGCATGTGTGAGAGCAGGAACACATAGGCCTGGAGTGCTGCTTTTATTGTGTCATGCTAGAAAGAAAAAGAAAAAAGTTCTGTCAGATCTTACCATTCTAGATTGTCTGTGCTACCAGTTGCCAACTCATAGATGGTAGGAATAATTATTAACAAAATCAAATGATGAATGAATGAATGAATGAATGAACAAATGAGTTAAATATTCAGCTTGTATTGGGGTAACAGGAAGTACTTATGGTTAGCTAAGACATTAAGGTGAGTGAACAAGACAGAGGGTTGGGAAGGTGGACTACGGGTTGGAATGATAGAGTGAAGATTCTGGACTTTATTTGTAACCAACCAGAAGGCAGTTGAGGAACAGGTGAAGAACAGAGATGTGGGCAATGTTCTGAAGGAGCCCAGAGGAGAGGACCCACAATGGAGAGAGCTTTCCTCTACTGGGGGAAAGGAGGGAAAATGTAAACTGGAGATCCAGAATTTCAGTTTCCAGGCAAAGGAGCAAGAAAGCATATGATGTTGAATTGAGTAGCATTGAATTAAATCACATTGGATTGAGGTGAATTGAGTGATAAAATTAACTCATTTTACAGAGAGGTAAGCTGAGGTTCCTGCGCAGGTCAGTGTAACTGATTTGCTCAGCAGGACAGGCATTTTCACAAAGTTTGCATTAATTTTCTGCAAAATAGTAACCTTGGGATTCTACATATTTATGTTATCCCTTCAGAGACTTCCTTGAAAGCATTTTTGGAATTGTCCTGAAAGTCCAAAGCACTTCTGTATTTTTGTAATTTTCAGCATTTGAAGATCTTAACACTTTGAAAGAATTTTGGATTTTTAGAAACCATTAAAAATCTTGGTTCAGTTCCATAAATATTTATTTAGTACCTACCATGTGCTGGAAACAAAGTTAACATACGTATAAGGGTTACAACGTTGAAAAAGAAATAGCCCTCCTTTGCCCAGGGGAGCGGGAAAAGCCGACATGTCTTCAAGGAACCATAGTGCATTGGAATAAAAGTATTGCATACTAAGTCTGCTCAGCAAGTTGACTGATCTCATTGCTTCATGGGAATCACCACTAAGAGATGCATTTAAAAACAGAAGCCTCCATTTCTTGCCTGCACTACTGTTAACAGCCATTCCATTGGGATGGATAAAGCAAGTCACACATAGATATACCTGTGGTTTGAAAGAAAAGAAATTATACTCATTGAACACATTTGATTTGTCCAACACAATGCTTCTTTACAGTCTTAATCCTCAGAGACTTTAGGCACCAGGTATGATTTTTTGTTTCATGATCCCGAAGGGACAGCCACAAGGACTTTACAAAACGTGTCCAAGTTCACAAAGCTATGAAGTAATAGAGACCTCATTTGAGTCCAGGTCTGGTCTGTCTGACCCCAAAGCCATCTGTCTGCATTTCCACTCACTTTTTAACATAGAGCAGAAAGGGAAGCAATCTAGGTTTTGTGGCTTTTTGTTTATTTCTGGACTTGTCCTTCATTTGATTTATTGTGCTTTCATCAGAACAATTTCACTGAATCTTTTAAAACTCCTTTACGATGCAGTGAGGGGGGGTGGGGGGACCCTACAAAATGGGAGTGCTTAGGTCAGAACATTTCTCAAAAAAGGAAAAAAAAAAAAAAGCTTTACATTCCAAACTGAAAAGTGCCAATCTTTCTTAGGATAGAGGATCTGGAAGAATCCAGATAGTACCTCTGTCCATCCAGGCCTGAAGGAAGCCTCACTGCCAGAGAACATAGTGGGCCCATTTCCTTCCAAATCAGAGCACAGGGTAATTCAAATTAAAAAAAAAAAAAATACAATGTAATCATAAGATCCCAGCCCTGAATTCGAGGTGGCGAAGGCAGAAGAACCTGACTTAGCAAAGGAGAAGGACCTCGGTAACTAAGCTCATCTTTTTCTCCAAATTTGAAAACGCACATGTCTGAAAAAAAGACCATCCCTGTTTGGACTTAAAGTCCACACATTTATGATGAATGGATATGATAGAGTTAGAAGAACTTATACCAGAACAAAGAATTTTCTTTCACTTGGGCTTTCCTGGAAATGGTACATTTCAGATTTTTTGAGCCTGCTCTAGAAAGCAACACTGTTCCCAAGGCCAGACGGACGGACTAAAAGTCTGAGGTCATGGAAGTTCAAAGCCAACACCCCTAATTCAGTACCTGTCGAAGCGTGACCAGGGAGCACTTGCATCAAAATCAAGCTGCGTGTTAACATTTAGATTCCTGCACCCCACCCCTTCCTACCAGTTAGACTCTCAACGCAAGCAGAGAATTTGGCCTGGAAAGCCGCCTTCTGAACATGGACCTTTGGTGGATCTTGGAAACAATTGTTCTGGTCCATCCGCTCATGCTATGGATGAGAAGACTAAGCCCCACAATGGTTGGAAATAACTGGCTCATGCCTACACAGACCAACAATGAAGACATTGACCTTGAGCCTACCTGGTGGTTTTCTGTATATCTACCTGTCTGGTGTTGATGCTGCTAGAACCCAAACACGGCTCCTTTGAATAGAGAAAGTGATACTGCCAGAAGGCAGGCCCCATCATTGCTGAGGGTCCCAGTCTTTAGAATCAACCAGCCAACCCTCTGGAGAGTGAGAACGGAGTCTTCCCCAGCCTGTACCCTCTAGCCAGTAGCTCAGAGCCCAGGCAGAGCGAGGCGGTAAGCGCCAGGGGCAATCATCAGCCACCCTGAAGGCCTCTGGCTCCCTCCCCTTAACCCCACTACAGTCTGGATGTTTGCCTTGGGTAGGATCCCATCCAGGAACTATTTCAGGGTCTGGCTTAGGCCATGGAAAGATTCCTCAGTTTTGCCAAATGAAGGTTACCAGATGACTGTCACCAGTGGAACTTATATATGCAAAGACTGCAAATTCTGTTTTTGGAGGAATTTCTTTTGTATTCCTGATTTCTTGGCATATGAACGTTTCACTCTCAATTAGCAAGAAAATGAAAATGACGTGAATGAGGTGCTGCCATGATAGGAAGCATGGGTGAGCTTCTCAGACGCCAGCCGGCACCGCTGGGCTCAGGATGTTGCCGGTGGTGAGCCGGATTGGTTGCCAGCTTAGAATTTGGCAGGGCTGGGGTGAAAGGTCACTGTGAACCCAGATCTCACCCCCTCGGACTGGATGGACGGAACCATGACCCTAGAGATTGCGAGGCTCACTCATCCGCTCATCTGCAGCCTGGTCTTACTGGGTGACACTGAGCATGTCGTCCCAGGTATCACTGCGCTTTCTGGAGCTCGGCTTCCAGGGCGTGTGTCCGGGCTGAAGAGGTGGCTGGAGAGAGGGGGGAACCCAGATTTCTCCCCAATTCCTGATACTGCCTCTAGCTACAGTAGGTCTGCTTTGAGGTTTTATACATTGATGCCTCCGTGTAAGGTTTTATTTGAAACAAATGTGAAAAATTAAGAGACTGGCCGCCAATGAACTTAGTTCTTTATTCTAGCTGTGCATTAGAATTGCCTGGAGCATCTTCCAAAAATCAAATGCAAACAAAGAACCAGCCGTCTCTTCTCCCTTCCCCCACGCTGTCCAGATAACCCGATGAAGTAGGTCTGGGCGGAGGTTCCAAGCTTCAGTATTTCTCCGACGATCTCCGGTGATTCTAACGTGCAGCCAGGTGGAGGGAGAACCACAGGCCTGGAAGCTGATGATCTCTGGTTGTCCTAAAGGAGTGTCACCCTGACTGCCACCTTGCTGGCAGAGCTCAAAGGGTCTGGGCGGTGGGGGCCGATTGCTGAGGACCCCCCCCGCCCGCAACCAAAGAGCCGAACCACTGACCCGGTGTCCCTCCGCAGGCATGCCAGGGAAGAACAACGTGGCTGCGGCACTGCGCCAGGCTCCCGGGCAGAACGGAACCAGCTTCCACGGCTGCCTCCGCAACCTCTACATCAACAGCGAGCTGCAGGACTTCCGCAAGGTGCCCATGCAGACCGGCATTCTGCCCGGCTGTGAGCCGTGCCACAAGAAGGTGTGCGCCCACGGCACGTGCCGGCCCAGCAGCCAGTCGGGCTTCAGCTGTGAGTGTGAGGAAGGCTGGACCGGGCCCCTCTGTGACCAGAGGACCAATGACCCCTGTCTTGGAAATAAGTGAGTTCGAGCTGCACACATACACATATACCCCAGCCCTCAAAACAAAAGCCAGGAAGGGAGGGAAAGAGGGACAGAGGAAGAAGGGAAGGAGACGAGGGGGAGGGGAGAGAGAGAAGAGAAGGAAGTCAGCCCCTTGGCCCAGCGCCTTCCTACTCCTTCCATCACCCTTCCTCCATTCTTACCCCCTCTGCCTAATGCACGTGCGTTCTTGCCTTCCTCCTCCACTGTAGATGTGTGCACGGCACCTGCTTGCCCATCAATGCGTTCTCCTACAGCTGTAAGTGTCTGGAGGGCCACGGCGGTGTGCTCTGTGATGAAGAGGAGGATCTGTTTAACCCCTGCCAGGCGATCAAGTGCAAGCATGGGAACTGCAGGCTCTCGGGACTGGGGCAGCCCTACTGTGAATGCAGCAGTGGGTACACTGGAGACGGCTGTGACCGAGGTAAGCCGACCGACCTGGGCACCACCCTTTGAAGCAAGAGTACCCCCCCCCGCCATCTTTGAAAAGAGAGAGAAAGGGAGACAGACACACAGAGGAGTGATATGAGGAACACCAGGTCTAGGCATGGCCTACAGTTGCGGCCGTTGATTGATTTCCCAGCGGCAGGAAGGCACCAGATGTGAAATGTCCTCAACCTCCACAGCCGGAATTGACACGGCCTTCAGTGATGTGCCGTGAAAAAATACTCCTTTTTACCTTTTGGTGCAGCACATCTACTTCCCTGCCTTCTTTCCTTTACCTGCCGTCCGCATCCATTTATGTAATTAATTCGTCCCTGGCACAGAGAAGAGGCAGCTCATAATTCTGCTCTAGGTTTAAGACAAAGTCACCTTTGACCTTACAGTCAACTGATTGATCACAGCACCGCGTGCAGGTGAGAGGGATGGAAACGTGCCAACTTGCGGGCCCACCTTTCTCCTTCTCCCCTGTCTGCGTGACCAGAAGGCGCCTCGCCCCCAGCTGGCAGGCCTTGCGGTTCGCGTGTCGGAGGGACGAGACCAGAGCAACGGGCCCGTGGGAGCTGTGAGCACATGTCTCTTTTTGAACTGGTTCATACCAGGGTAATTTATGAAGTTAGTGGAATGTTACTTGTATTAAGTAACAGATTGAATGATATTAAACCCCAGGTCTAATAAATTAAATTGCACACTTTCTGAAACAGCTCCTTGTGGTAAATGAAACCAGCTGTTAGTAGTGTAAAAACAGAAGACGTGCATTTCTGCAATAAAGGAAAAGATTTAGGAATCCAATTTTCTTGTCAGTCCAACAGCATAGTATTTATAGTCCACAGCAATAGTATTCACTTTGCAGAAAATAAAGGCCACCCCAACAACAACAAAAAGTATCTTTTAAGGAACAGCAAGCTGGGTCACCCGCCCATTATATGGAGTATAAGCAGGCCCATGACAATCACACTTACCCATGGCAAAGATAGCACCTCCTGAACTGGCTTGTGGATCCACAGCCCCTTTGTCGGGGACTCATAGCGACTGCCCTGAAAATGCTTGTGCTTCTTGTTCTTTTCTAGAAATCTCTTGTCGAGGGGAGCGGATACGAGATTATTACCAAAAGCAGCAGGGCTATGCCGCTTGCCAGACAACCAAGAAGGTGTCCCGGTTGGAATGCAGAGGTGGGTGTGCGGGAGGACAGTGCTGCGGACCTCTGAGGAGCAAGCGGCGGAAATACTCTTTCGAATGCACTGATGGGTCTTCGTTTGTGGATGAGGTCGAGAAGGTGGTGAAGTGTGGTTGTTCCAGGTGTGCCTCCTAATTGTGCCCCTGGCACCTTGTGTCTTTGGGGAATGTTGTCTACTTCTCGACTGCGGTGGACTCATTAATGCTTCATAGTGGAAATATTTGAAATATATTGTAAAATACAGAACAGACTTATTTTTATTATGAGAATAAAGACCTTTTTTTTTTTTTCTGCATTCTGGAAAAAAAAAAAAATGCTTGAACTAACGCTTCCCCGGTGAGAGAGAAGTAGGAAGAGAGAGAGAACCCGGAGGCCTCGGCCCACGGGTGGGAAGCGTTGCGACGCGAATTCATCTTTGCAACATGCTGAAGACGAGGGAGAGCCAAGCTCCTGTGTGCTGCGTGACATCAGCACCCAGACCGTAAAGCCCCTGTGGCCTCGTGCCCGTCTCTGGGGCTCACGAGGATACACCGAGCACCTGTGTGGGATTGAGGATGGTTGAGGATGCAAGGTGGAGGAGGGGAACTCGAGAATTCACTGAACACGCGGTTGAGAAATATTCGGTGCAAAACAGTGTCCTTGAAGACCTGGGTTCTGTTCACGAGAGGGTTGGGAGAGCTAACCTAACAGGTGTATCTTCTTTTTAAACGTCAGCATGTTAGCAGAAGCAGCACACAAAAGTGTTTATCTACCGTTTTCCAGTATTAATTTTTTTGTAATATAAATGATAAAGGAGATGATAAAGAACCAATAGATTATTGATAAATAAATTAGTAATAATATGAATTTTTGTTTCTATGAGTTCAAAACAGCCCTATACAGTATGCAGTTCCGATGAGAAATATTTATTGTATCAAAGGACATTGTACTTAACATGGTAGGCCATTCTTTTACTGTTTCTCAATGCTTTAATATATATTAATTTATAATTGTCCTGATATTTTTGTATATTTTTCAAACTTAAAAATCAGGATTGGGGTGGGGGGGGTTGGCCATAGTACTAACATAGGCTGTTATATTGGGATAAATATGTGTTGATCGGTTTGTTTACCCTGACATCTGACCACTGGTGTCACCGACCTACTGGCCTCATTCAGGACACCTGCAGAGAGTATGTAAAGTCTATGCGTGAGACGGTCTTTGTACAGAAAGAAGGGGCCAGCCCCTCTGCAGCGTGTCCTCCCAGAACAGAAATGGTGTGTAGCAATCGACACTAGAAAAGTAGATATTTTACAAATTAATATTTCCTTGACATTTTTTGCCCTTTTATCAGGGGCGGGGGGCAGAGAGAAAAGGCTGTAATGTCAAGAACTGTGATTTTCTTTTTCCAAACAATAAAGCTCCTTTATTACCTTAATGTTCCCATGTTAACGTTTGCTGCTAAATTACAATGTAGAATTGCTAATGATTTATAGAGGACTGTGCTCTTCCCTTATGAAAATCCCAGGGTACCCTGTGAAGATGCAGCTGTTCCTTTCCAAAAACTTTTTTTATGCAGAAAATTAGATGTACATGTATAATTCAGTGTGCTTTGTCTTTCTCCAGACTAATATCAGTTATACTACTGATGTTTGTAAATTAAACAGATATTTACTTCACTAACAGCTTGGTGATTTTCTTAGAAATTACAAAATATTTAGAGTCCCTCCTTAAGAATCTCTTCATCAAAGTGATACAGAATGGACAAGGAAGAAAACCTGTATCCTGTTGTTGACAAAAATTGTTTTACGATTAGCATATTGTTGGACCGGGGGACTTTGGAATGGCCACATTGAAAGAGGTGGATAGAACACATCCTTTGCCATGAAAAAAGTACATATCCAACTAATTTCTTCCAAAAAAATTATAAGGTGAAGTCTAACTAAACTACAAACGGTATTTTTGTTTTTGTTCTTCTTTCCCCTCAATTAGAACCAGATGGAAAACAATGAAAGACAAAGAGTGCCTTTCTCCACAAGCACTGGGGGCAAGGCTTAGAACAGGGAAAGAGCATGAATATTATTACTTAAGCACCAAGCCGGAACTTCTTCACTTTCCTATAAGAAAATCCTGCCCATGCGCACACATATGCACACACGGACACAGATGCCCGTTTATTCATTTTTGTTTAAAATGTCTATATTTTCATTGTGTAAATATAGGGTCTTGGTAAAACATTTATTTATTCCCACTGTTTCATTTTTTTCCAAGGACTGGGAATCACTCGTTAAACAAAGAAACATCTGCAAAGATAACAGGAGTTAGATCTGTGTTTATAGGTATGTGTTATCTCAAGAGCCACTATTTTCGAGGGCTTATTATATTCCAGGCACTTATATATATGACAAGGGCTTTATATGAAATATCTCACTCTTCTCTCACTCTACAGCTATGGGATTATTGGGATCCCATTTTGACACAGGCATAAAGAGCTCGAAGACAGAAGAGCTGAATTCACCCGGGCCTCTCAGACCACGGGGTCCATGTTCAGGGGATAGAGGGAGGCATCCTCTACCACGGGACTTTTAAACCCTGAACCTTATTTCCACAGCACAATCATTCTCCCTACCGATCATGTCAATTGAAGTGGTCGAGATTAGAGATGTTTGGTTTCCTGTTTGTGTTTTTTAAGGAAAAAAAAGTGAAGACTTAGTAGCTTCCTGACTGTATCCTTTCTCCTTCCTGCTTCTAAAGGCACAAAACAGAATTATGATTGCCTGGGATTTGGGCTGAGTTAGCAAGTTTCTTAGGGGATCGTTTACCTCGTGATGAGACTGCATTCTGTACAGGAGCCCTCCTTTGAGAAAATCCAATAGCCAAATAATTACTAGCAAATGAGACAAATTAAGGGCACTTACACATGTTATAAATAGCTCCACACTTATAAAGCCTTGACCATAGGATCCCTTTAAATAAGAAACTAATCTAGAGCGTTTCCAACAGAATTCAATAGGTTAAAACAAAAAACATTTTGCCCATTTCAGAATCAAAGCTATTACACACAACAATGGATGTTTGTAATCTGAAAAGATAAAGTGATTAAACATCCCTAATATGTTTACTTTAAATTCTCACATGAGTTGAGGCACCATCAGGGGATTTGACATGTGTTCATTGAATAATAACTATCTCAATCTTTGGAATTTGTGCTCACCCTACCTTTCCTGAAATTATTTCTAAGCAATGATACACTAACCTCAGTTTTAGAATTGCTCTGAGCATTCTGGTTTGTTTGTTTTTTTTTTTGGTTTTTTTTGGATGGTTTGCTTTGTCAGCAGCAGCTCTTTCTAGAGAAATAATTGAAAGAAATACTGTTGAAATTGATTCAGGTCTTACAGATCTTGAGCATTATGGAGTCCTCTACTCCATAGAGTGACCATTATATCAAAACTAATGTTTGTTAAAGGATATAAGCTATAAAAATATGTGAAGCTTCATATAAAGCTTCTTATAAAACCGATAAAACTATATAAAATACATAAGCTATATTCATTCTTAATCCCCTCTATATACTCAAAAGTCATTTGACAACACATTTTTATTTTTTTATCTCCTATCATGTGCAAGAAACTATACTAAACTTTCAATATATAGTTCAGACAAACCAGGCATCACTTCTGCCATCTTAGAGCTCGCGGCTCTGTGCACTTGGAGTTGAGGCTAAAGTGAGTAACAAATATTATACAAAGGACCAAACTACTTATAATTTCAGATTGTGGTTAAGTGCCCTGATGGAAATTACGAGATACTAGAAAAGAAGCAGAGCAGAGGAATCCAATTAAATACATATTGGGAGGTCAGTGAATGACTCTGTGAGGAAGTGATGAACAATAAAGTAGGATCCAGAATAGAGACTGATGGAAATATGTGAGGGTGTCAAAGCTGGAGGTCAATGCAGAGACAGCAACCTGTGTCTAAGCCTGAGGAGGGAAGGAACTCCTATGTGATTAAGGAAACAAAAGAAGTTCATGTGGCCAGAGTGAGGCATAGATTACTCTTCTGTGTATAATACAACACAGGCAATTTTGTCTTCATTAACTCACCTTTAATAGTCTATATTTTTCTTGTGATCATCTGTTTGCAGTGATCTTTCAAAATCACAACAAAAATGGATTTCCATTTTAAAACAGCAAGTAGTTTTGTTTAAGGCGGTTCCTCAACTTCCAAATGAAATAGCTCTGAAGACACAGAGAATATGAATACTTAAAATAGCACTGAAAATTAAGAATAATATTTCTGGAATCTCCAAGGAACTTTCATGAATTCAAAAGTGGATGAGGATAGATTGAAAGAAACTGCTGGCCAACCCATGGTTGGAGACTCGTGTGCATTCCTTTCTCTGTACACCAAGACCAAAGACTCAGGAAATGAGTCAACAGGAAAATCATCAAAAAATATTCGTGCATTTAGGTGCCACTTTGTGAGTTTGCCAGAGGTCTGTGCCTCCAACCAAGGAGGTAAAATCTTCCTTCAACTATTAGGATGTTCCATTTCCTGTCAAAGAAACGAAAACAGTGCAAGAAATACTAGAAGACCAGTTGTGTTGTACCGAATATTGAGAGCTGTAGTCTTTGTAAATAAATTATTGTAGATGTGGACTGAGCCTGGAAGAGCCACAGTAGTAATGCTTGCTTCGAATGGTATGGAGGGGGCGCCTGGGTGGGACAGTCAGTTAAGTGTCCAACTCTTGGTTTCGGCTCAGGTTGTGATCTCGGGGTCATGAGATTGAGACCCATGTAGGGCTCTACACTCAGCATGGAGTCCACTTGAGATGCTCTCTCCTTCCCGCTCATGTTCTCTTTCTCTCTCTCAAATAAATAAATCTTAAAAAAAAAAAAAAAGAATGGTATGGAAAGAGGGAAGTACCTTACCAAATCAGAAGACCAGAGAAAAGTTGCATTATATTGACTCACTATTAAGCTAATAAAATGGTGAAAATTTACAGGCCATATTTGGGGATGAGGTCTACGAAGTTCAGAAAACTTTAGTGGGCAATGGAAGTCATTGAAGATTATCTCAGTAGGAGAATTGTTCACACATGTGTTATAGGAATTTTAGTTGATAGCATGATATAAAGTGAATTGTTCAGGTGGCTATTTCTTAAGTCTGAAAAGAAGGCAAAAGCCGAGAATAAGAAAAGAAAGAAAAAAAATGGCAAATGAATCAGAAAAGACAGAAGAGACTGCACTGTTATGGTGGAAGAATTAATAATTCACGATGACATTGGGCATGTTTGGCAAGGAAGAAGGGGAAGTCGAGTATACCTCCTTGTTTTGAGCTTCTCTATTTCTGCTGTTTCTAAAGCACAAGAATTGAAATCTGGGTGTATTCGCAGCAGAGTTCGGGTGCCTGCATGAGGCTAGAAACAGACGAATGGCTGCTTGGGAAGCCCCAGCTTTCCACCCTCAACCCATCTTCCTGTCTGCTGAATGAAATCAATACATTCCTCCAGATGGTGTCTTTAATGTCTTTAAAGATCTTAGATATGTTCAATCAACTCCATTTATAGGATAAAATCCAAACTCTTCACTACAGTGTTCCAGATTCCCCACAAAGGGATATTTTCAAGCCTACAATATATGCTGTGAAATGGACAAAATGGTAGGAAAGGATATTTTAAAGTATTTACTTTATTTTTAAGATTTTATTTATTTGACAGAGAGAGAGCACAAGCAGGGGGAGCAGCAGAGGGAGAGGGAGAAGCAGGCTTCCCGCTGAGCTGAGCAGGGAGCCCAACATGGGGCTCGATCTGAGGACCCTGAGCATCATGACCTGAGCCAAAGGCAGACGCTTAACCGACTGAGCCACCCAGGTGCCCCAGGAAAGGATATTTTAAAACAAATCGTGGACTGAGATGTCTAAAACCATAGATGTAGGATTTATCCACACGGAAGTGTTAATTGAAGCCCAGACAATAGATAAGTAGATTTAGACCCAATAGAATGAACTTGACTGCAGGAATAAGATTCATCTTTCGACAATGCTGACGTCTCTAGGACACCTTGGTCCCAGAATGGAGACGAAGAAAGAGCAGTTTTAATAACGGAGTGATAAGGTAATAGCTGGATAGCCAGGGGTTAGGAATGGAATTTATGAGCTAATATGATGCCCTCTCACTAAGTCTGATAGCAAAAGAAGAGGAGAGTCAGGCTAGCAACTGGAAGAGTTGCTGAGGTCCTAAGGTTTGCATTCAAAGGGTCAGTAAGTGTCAGTTTATCCCCTGTAGTCACAGCTTGCGAAGGTGTGGGGCAACCACTGGAGACATGTCCTAGAGGGACTACTGAGGCCTGAGCTGGAAAAGTAAACTGGGTCATCAATTACATGAGCTGGTTGAACAATGGGAGGTAAAAAGTGGGGCCCAGCTACAGGGGGGTTGAGGAAGCAGGATGCCCAAGAGCAAGAAACCACAAAATCATCCAGAACGAAGACAGTAATATAGTATATGCAATAATTATTTTCCAAATGAATGTCTCTGCCTCCCTCCTCTTTTTCCCACAAAGGGGAAACAGAGGACACTTACAAGTGTTAACTGTGTCCACAGATACAAAATTCAGCAGAGTGGAGGCATTGTCATCCTGCCTTTGGAGCTAGCTTTGTCTTTGTGTCAATGTGTGGGCGGCTGA